AAAATTTTAAAATTTTCTATTTAAGGATCTCAACCTGACATTCTTTTTTCTATTTAAAGATGAATTAGATGATAATACTGATATGACAAATGTGAAATTAGTGTCTTTAAATAGGAAAAATGCAAGATTGACATTTAAAATTTTTTTTTTTCAAAAAAGAAGAAAAAATTGGTATTTTTAAATTAAAAAATTAAAATTTTACTACCTTAATTAGAAATAAGCAAACTTCACATCTTTAAATAAAAATAATTATAAAAGAATAATGATAAATGAGATCAAAATCTTAGACTAATAATGTAAGTCACGTCATTTAAAATATTAAAAAAAAAATTATATTATTTAATAATTGACTCTTTTCATTTTTTTAGAACTTGTAATATTATATGCATCAACTAACTTAATAATATAACTTATATCATATCATTGATTCTAAATTTTCATCATCCTTATCATTACTCATTGTAAAATTAGTATCTTTATATGCATATTTTTTTCATTTGGACTTACATGCACTTTTTTTTTTTTATAATAAATATACTCATGATTTAAATTCAATACCACTTGATAGTTGATATCCAATTAAAAGATTGTGAGAAATTAGAGGAGCCCGTCAGCCAAATTGACAACCACTCTTTCAAAGTACACAAGAGCCCCTCGCATCACATAGACGGGAATGGGAAAGAAACCCACTTAATGCCGTGAAAAAAATAAAAATCAAAAGATGAATATTACTCCATTCTGTTCCTTATTATTATACATTTTAGGTATGTGTACACCGATTAAGAAAAGTAATTTATTACTCTTGATTAAGAACAATAATAAATTACTTTACAATTCAAGATTCTACCTCATATCTTACAGACACAAAAATACATGTATGTGTTCACATATGCGTGAATGTATGCATCAATACAAGCATGTATGTGTGAATCTATATATATTATATGCATCTAATGAATAATGAGAAGGAAGGAGAAATCTAACTTCATTAAATTATTTTTTTGAGCACTAATCCTCAATATACAAATATTAAACAAAAACCAGAATAAAATAACATATACATCTACATTATATTAATAATAATAATAATAATAAGATTTACTTATATACTATATTTACACAAAATCTTAACTATTCATCTCTTCATTTTTAATGGTTGAAATTTATTAACTTTTTATCATATTTATTTAAAATAATTAATTTTTTCATTTAAAAAATCATAATAAATCTTAACCACTCAAATAAAAAAATTAATTATCAAAACTTTATGTAAATGTAGTATATAAAACTTTTATATGTAAGTAAATATACTAATAACAATATGTACATTACCTCCACAGAACATGTTAAGCAAAATTCTGTCTCACTTACCCTTTAAAATGGGCCGGGGTCAGATTTGTACTTGGACTTAAAACACTCAACTAAGCCAATAATAGCATGAAAAAACTGTTACTAAAAAAGAAAATAGTGCACAAAAGATCAAAAAGAGAAATAATAAAATAGCTCTCGATAACAAACTCAACGTGAACAGAAAGATTCCACGAGAGAGTGCAACAAAAGAAAGAAGGATGCTTGCTTTATAATGTTATGTAACAATAAAGAAAGAAAGACAGAACGATGAGTAAATTCTGACAAGAAATAAATAGAAAAATAACTACAATCCCAAATAAATAACTAAATTTTCACAATAGAGATAAAAGTCTAATTAAGATA